ATGGATACATACATAATATTCAAGTTTTGACTTTAGTCCTATTCTTGTTCCCCTAAATCCTTGTTTATCCAAACCAGTGTTAACACAAAGTGTGGTCCATGGATCAGTGTCAGTTTACAACCTGTTATTAACTTCAAGAAGTATAGAAATTGAGCATTAAAAAACTTAAATAGTAATTTGACATTGGCACAACATCTAAGCATGTGGTCGTTTTTCCAGTAATTTATTTTTATTGCATTTTACAAAGTACAGGTTTTGACAAGTTGGAGATGAAGTGAGGCACTTCCCACAGATAGTTTGAGAAACACTACTAGAGATCCTCTCTTCTTCTTTTTTTTTTTTTTTAAGATTTTATTTATTTATTCATGACACAGAAAGAGAGAGAGAGGCAGAGACACTGGCAGAGGGAGATCCCCTGGGACACTTGTTAATGATGCAAATGCCTGTGCAGGATCCCTCCAAATTTTAATTCTACCAGTCTGAGACCCAAGAATTTACATTCTAAACAAACATTCCAGCTGATTCTGGTGAATATTGTTTTTGGGTAGGTGATTTAAATCAGGATACTTGAGAGTAAAAGAGGACACTATTGAATCACATTAGGGCAAGATAAATAATCTGAGAATATCTTAATACACATACTCAGACACATGGTCACTGTACCTGGGGCGTGTTTTTTGAAAATAGAGGTTTAAAGTTTAATCAGAAAATTCCCGCTATTTCTTTTCATGACCAAACTTAGCTAGATTTCCTTTAGTCTTCTCAGGATGATGGCTGTTCCCACTCTTCTACGAATCAACCTTAATAATAATGTGTATATAACTATCTAATAAAGGAAGATGGCATTCAGGGCTTTTAAACATAGCTAATAACATGAAGGGAGATAGGACCCACTCCTTTAAAGTGGAAGATTCTTTTCTTCTGATTTGAAGGAAATTGATTTTATTTGCCCTTAGCTAAAAACTTAGGACTCTTCTGGAACTTTCTGTTATGCATGTTGTCTCAAGCCAGTCTTAATGCCTCTTAGTGTTCCTGGGTCAGCTGTGTCCCATTTCTCTTAGCTGGGCATAATCCCCTTGATCCATTTCAACCTTGCTTTCATTTTCATTTAACTAAGTGACTTGTTTACTTGTTTTAAGTAAATTGCAACTGAAGAATTTGAGAGAAAGAAAAAATACCTTTCTAAATTTCTTTAAGAGTTCTTTAGGTTGTTGTCACCTTTCCTTACGTAAATTATATGATAGATAGAAAAAAATGGTTTTTCTATTTTGTAAATTATTATTTGATTGCAACTGAATATTGGGGCGGGTGGGTGCCTGGGTGGCTCAATCAGTTGGGCATCTGCCTTCAGTTCAGGTCACGATTGTGGAGTCCTGGGATAGAGCCCTGCATCAGGCTCCTTGCTCAGTGAGAAGTCTGCTTCTCCCTGTGCCCCTCACCACACCTGTGCTCTCTCTCTCTCAAATAAATAAATAAAATCTTTAAAAAACAACTGAATTTTAGTATTATTATTTTTATTAGTAGTAATAATCCTGCTGCTAGAAGTCAAATAATATCTGTGGATCTCTTGTCTCTGAGACTACCTCTATTAAAATACCACTTTTGTCAATTCCAACATATTTGGTTTTATATTGTTGCATTTTGTTTTTAGTTTGTTGACCAATTTCTTTTATTTACAAAGTGTAAATTAAAAACAAGCAGACTTTCTTTCGGGTTCATTTAAAAATGGGGAAGGGCAGGTTGGCTAGCCAGAATTGAGAGTAAAACTTTGAAAACCAAAAAGAGGTAAATTAAGTATGAAAAGGGGAGTGATTAAATACATTTCTTTATTTGTCTGGAAAAGGATTTCAGAGGACTGGAGGTTCTCTGAAGTTACGTACAAGAAATTAAGTGTAGCTCTTGATTGAACCTCATATAAATTTCCCCAAAGAAAGTTACTCTAAGACTTATACTCTTGTGGTACCTGGGTGGCTCAGTCGGTTAAGCATCTGCCTTGGGTTCAGGTCATGATCTCAGGGTCCTGGGATCAAGCCCTCAGAGTTCCCTGCTCAGCTGGGAGTCTGCTGCTCCTTCTTCCTCTGCCCCTTCCCCTGTTCATGTTCTTTCTCTCTCTCTCTCTCTCTCTCTCTCTCTCTCAAATAATTGAATAAAATCTTAAAAAAAAAAAAACCTTATACCCTTAGTCTTGGTAATTTTTCCACTTTTAAAAAAATAAGTATTTCAAATGTATTACAACAATAGAGGAACTTTCAAGTGAATATCACTCAGCTTCAGTTAGTAACTCAAAACCAGTCTTTTTTTTCCTCTGTGCCACTGCTTATTCCCTGTCTCTCCATTATTTTGAAGCAAATCCCAAGTAGCATATAATTTCATCTGCAAATATTTCAATAAGAATCTCTAAACTGGGCAGCCCGGGTGGCTCAGCGGTTTAGTGCCACCTTCAGCCCAGGGTGTGATCTTGAAGACCCGGGATCGAGTCCCACGTCAGGCTCCCTGCATGGAGCCTGGTTCTCCCTCTGCCTGTGTCTCTGACTCTGTCTTTCATGAATGAATGAATGAATAAATAATAAAATAAATCTTTAAAAAAAAAGAATCTCTAAACTATAAAGGACTCTTTTTTTTTTTTAAAGGGGAAATATTTTTTTTTAAACAGTTCTTTTTTTTTAATTTTTTTTTTTTTATTTATTTATGATAGTCACACACACAGAGAGAGAGAGAGGCAGAGACACAGGCAGAGGGAGAAGCAGGCTCCATGCACCGGGAGCCCGACGTGGGATTCGATCCCGGGTCTCCAGGATCGCGCTCTGGGCCAAAGGCGGGCGCCAAACCGCTGCGCCACCCAGGGATCCCTAAAGGACTCTTTGTTGTTATTGTTAAACACAACCATATTACAATACACTTCAGTAAAACTTTAAGTAAATTTGTTTAGGACTTTCACTCTGTTGTAGAGACTCACCAGATGAATAAATTTTAAAAATCTTCATTATCTTATTTTTGTTTTATTTTATTTTATTTTTTAAAGATTTTACTTATTTATTCATGAGAGAGACACACACAGAGAGAGAGAGAGAGAGAGAGAGAGGGAGAGAGAGGCAGAGACACAGGCAGAGAGAGAAGCAGCCTCCATGCAGGGAGCCCGATGCAGGACTCGATCTCCGGACTCCAGGACTACACCCTGGGTGGAGGGCAGGTGCTAGACTGCTGAGCCATCCAGGGATCCACCTGTTTTATTTTAGAAGTAGATTATTTTACTAAATAATGTATTGATATTCTACCTGAATAACACAAATTAATTTATCCTGCAAATTGGAATACTTTTGAGAGTGAAAGCTGGCACTATGAACAATTACGATAGGAGAGCAGTGGAAATCTATGACTGCCTGCATAAACTGGGATGTATATGGTCCCCTATTTCAAGGTAATATTTGCTGGTTAGATAACTACTATAATTTTTTCAGTAAGCTCTGAATAGCCCAAAAAAGTCAAGTTGTAGCTAAGAGCATGGTGAAACTTACCATTTTCAAGTCTCAAATTTTTATAGTGTCTATAGATTTCAACTTGGTTCTCTCTCTTTTTTTTTTTTTTTTTTTTTACACAGAGCACAAGAGTGAGACTACACACATGCATGTGCAAACTATGGGGTAGGAGAGGGAGAAGGGAATAGAATCCCAAGCAGGCTCCACACTCATCTTAGAGCCCAACATGTGGGCTCCATATCACAGCCCTGAAATCAGGACCTGAGCTGAAATCAACAGTTGGACACATAACCAACTGAGCTACCAGGTGCCTCTCCCCCCTTTTAAAGTGTATTTGTTTAAATAATCTCCCAGTCCCAAGATCAAGAGTCATTCACTCCTCTGGTTGAGCCAGCCAGGAGTCCCTCATCTTGGTACTTAACACATGCATAAAGCTAGAAGTGGAACTACCAGCCATAAATCACAAATTAAAATGAGCCCTTCTTTTAAATGTGTAATTTATAGCCTTGTGAATGTTAGATCATAGATAATCTAAAGTAGACTACCTTATGAAGTAAGTAAATGAGATTTATTTATGTATGTATGTATGTATGTATGTAGTATTCATGAGAGACACAGAGAGAGGCAGAGACATAGGCAAGGGGAGAAGCAGGCTCCATGCAGGGAGCCTGATGTGGCACTCGATCCTAGGACTCCACGATCATACCCTGACATGAAGGGAGACGCTCAACCCCTGAGCCACCCAGGCATCCCGATGGCCAATTTTAAAGTCAAAAAATTTTTTTCTGTTAAAGTTGCTAGTTCACCATGATATTACATGAACTTTATATCAGACATAAACTGAAGTTATCTTTTAGCATTTCTAGATTAGAAAACACAGCTAGACCTTCCTTATCTGGTATTCTCAAGTTTATGCTGTGTCACTGTAAGAAGTAATTCTGAGGAACAGCTCCATTCAGTTAGTGATATGCTTGCTATCAGTAATATTTTAAGCAACTGCTTTTTCATAATAAAGTATACAACTATGATTCATTACCCTGATCAGGAGCTGAAGTCAGACTTTTAAAACAGTTCCATTATGTCACTTCATTGGAAAAATAAATGCCCGTTAGTGTTGATTTCTTTTCTTTTTTTTTAGATTTTATTTATTTATTCATGAAAGATACAGAGAGAGAGAGAGAGAGAGAGAGAGAGAGAGAGGCAGGCTCCAGGCAGGAGCCTGGTGTGGGGGATTCGATCCTGGAACTCCAGGATCACGCCCTGAGCTGAACGCAGACACTTAACTGTTAAGCCACCCAGGCGTCCCACACATACATCTTTTAAACACTTTAACTGTGGCTTTTTTAAAAATCAGAATCTATCATCTGTAACATACAGTATCTTAGATTTCTTTCCCCATAAAATTCTAGTGCTGTGGTTGTGAAATCATGGTGATGTATTAGATATAATTTGTTATGTAAAAGAAATGGGTTCACAGTTCTCTCTATGTTTAAGTATTTTAAATTACTTTTCCTCTCTTTCTAGCTGTTCCCTTTCCTCCAACCCAACGGCTTACTTTGAAAGAAGTATTTGAGAATGGGAAGCCTAAAATTGATGTTTTGAAAAACCATTTGGTGAAGGAAGGGCGACTGGAAGAGGAAGTAGCATTAAAGATAATCAATGATGGGGCTGCCATCCTGAGACAAGAGAAGACCATGATAGAAGTAGAGGCTCCAATCACGGGTAAGAGAAGTGTTTGCACAGCGGCAAATTTGAGAAATGATTACAAATAACCAACTAAGATGTATGATAATCTTTCTAGGAATTATGAAATAGTCTTAGGGATTGTTCAGTATGTTTGTTCATCGAAGAAATACAATTAAAATACCTAATATTTCCAGTACTGGTAGATTGACTACAATTATAGAACAATCCAGTCAAAAGCTAAAGTGATTTAAGTTAAAAGTTAAACTGTGATCTTATTGGTGTACTGCCCTTCTCTTATAAGATACAATTTTTCACCTCACCTTGTGTCCTTTTTCCTAGTGTGTGGTGACATTCATGGACAATTCTTTGACCTGATGAAGTTGTTTGAAGTTGGGGGATCACCTAGTAACACGCGCTACCTCTTTCTGGGTGACTATGTGGACAGAGGCTATTTCAGTATAGAGGTAAAAATTAAACTGGATACCTTGGAACAATTATATTGTCTCTTTTTTAGAAATTTGCTTTCCGGGGCAGCCCCGGTGGTGCAGCGATTTAGTGCCGCCTGCAGCCCACAGCGTGATCCTGGAGACCCAGGATCGAGTCCCATGTCGGGCTCCCTGAATGGAGCCTGCTTCTCCCTCTGCCTGTGTCTCTGCCTCTCTCTCTCTCTCTCTCTCTCTCTCTCTCTCGCTCTGTATCTCTCATGAGTAAATAAAATAAAATCTTAAAAAAAAAAAAAGAAAGAAAGAAATTTGCTCTCCATTCTTCAGCAGAAGAAATTTAAATGAGAACACTGGCAGAATTTATAAACTTTGTTACTTTGGGTATTAAAGTGTTGGAAAAATGTTTTCATTTATATAAGAAAGGTCTATTCCTTCTTGTAGCTTCTGTATGTAGTAGACATATAGAAAGCTATATTAACTCAGCTTTGCAAATAAATTGTTTACCAAACTTTTCTCTTGAAAATAGTGTATAGGCTGTATATAAATGACATAAATTACTATTCCTCCTAAACAGGGCTTGAATTAGCAGACCTTATTTATAAAACCATAAGCTGCTGGGCTGCAATTTACTCTTAAATTAGCTTCCAATGCTAAAATAAGCAGTCATTTAGCATGTTGTAGGAATAATTTTTGATATTCTTGCACATAGTAAGCAATAAATATTCACTGAAGGAAAAAATAAAGTTAATGAAGTTAATGTAAACCCACAATTTACTTAAATATATTTCAAAAATTGAATGATAAGAAAAAATGATTAGAATTAAAGTAGGAGGGCCTGGGTGGCTCAGTTGCTTAAGCATCCGACTCTTGGTTTCGGCTCAGATCATGATGTCAGAGTTTGGCTCCACATTGGGCATGGAGACTGCTTGGGGTTCTCTCTCTCCCTCTTCTTCTGCTCCTCTCCCTGATCATTCTCTTTCTCTCAAAAAAATAAATAAAATCTTTAAAAAAGAAAGTATTAAAGTATAAACTGTTATGTATAAAAGATAAAACTGTTTTAGACCCTAATGACTTGAGTAAAGTAGAACCAAAGCACATTCATATTTAATGTCCATTGATGCAGCTATATATACGTGCTTGGCAAATAAAAGAGAAGTAACTTGAAATAGTGCAGGTAATTGAATTTATAATGTGTCCAGAATAAACATGAGATGAGAAATTGAGTCTGCTTGCTGTTCTTGTAGTCTTTAGTTGTGCTTCTCCTTCATAGTGTTATATAGTCTCACTGTACTTAGTGTATTTATGGCAGTTATTTTTTTTAATATTTTATTTTATTATTTTAATTTAATTTAATTTAATTTAATTTTATTTTATTTTAATGTATGATAGGCACACAGTGAGAGAGAGAGAGAGGCAGAGACACAGGCAGAGGGAGAAGCAGGCTCCATGCACCAGGAACCCGACGTGGGATTCGATCCCAGGTCTCTAGGATCGCACCCTGGGCCAAAGGCAGGCGCTAAACCGCTACGCCACCCAGGGATCCCTATTTATGGCAGTTAAAAGTTTATTGTTTTTGCAGCATCACTCCTAGATCCAAGTCAACTCTTCTACCTAGTGCTCAACCAAAAAAAGCAGCAGTCATTCTAAAGATGCTAGAAAGATACACAAGAGAAATAGCTTGTCCTTTTTAGTTAGATCTAAGTGTTCTAAACTAATGAATCAGAAAAGTTTGGTGTTACCTGCCAGTGACTCAAATTAATTTAGTGTCATCTGTGAGGACAAAAGTTAGTGATAGAGGGATGTCTGGGTGGCTCAGTGGGTGAGCCTCTGCCTTTGGCTCAGGTCATGATCCTGGGGTCCTGGGATGGAGTCCCATATCGGGCTCTCCATAGGAAGCCTGCTTCTCCCTCTGGCTGTGTCTCTGCCTCTCTCTCTGTGTCTGTCATGTATAAATAAATAAAATCTTAAAAAAAAAAAAAGGTAGTGGTAGAAGCTAAGAAAATAATTATGTTTCCCTGCTGCTCAGTAAATTCCCGAGGTCTCTAAGTAGGGACCTGGGATGGGTGGAGATGATACTTGCAGACTGTACCATTGAAATGTTTCTCTATTCTAAGTAATCTCACTGTCCATTAATAGATAAGTGGATAAAGATGTGTTCTATAGGGATCCCTGGGTGGCGCAGCGGTTTAGCACCTGCCTTTGGCCCAGGGCGCGATCCTGGAGACCCGGGATCGAATCCCACATCGGGCTCCTGGTGCATGGAGCCTGCTTCTCCCTCTGCCTGTCTCTCTCTCTCTCTGTGACTATCATAAAAAAAAAAAAATGTGTTCTATATACATATATACCGGATATAATAGAATATTACTCAGACATAAAAGAGAATGAAAAGTGGCTATTTGCAACAACATGGATGGACCTAGAGGATATTATGCTAAGTGAAATAAGACAGAGAAAGACAAATACTATATGATTTCATTTATGTGGAATGTAAAAAACAAAACTAATGAACAAACAAAACAGAAGCTAATTTATAAACACAGAACAAACTGTTGGTTCACGGGGGGTGGGTGCAGAATGTACGGATTTGGGAAAATAGATAGAGGGGATTAAGAGGTACAGACTTCCAGTCATAAAATAAATAAGTCACAGGGATGAAATGTACATCACCAAAAATATAGTCAGTAATACTGTAATAACTTTGTAGGGTTGGGACGCCTGGGTGGCTCAGCAGTTGAGCATCTGCCTTTGGTTCAGGGCCTGATCCCGGATTCTTAGGATTGAGTCCCACATCAGGCTCCTTGCATGGAGACTGCCTCTTCTTCAGCCTGTGTCTCTGCCTCTCTTTCTGTGTCTCTCATAAATAAATAAATAAAATCTTAAAAAAAATAACTTTCTAGGGTTATAGGTGATAACTACACTTATAAGCACTGCATATTGTATAGGATTATTAAATCACTATGTTGTACACTAGAAACTAATATAATATTGTATATCAACTGTGGTTCAATAAATAAGGTAAAAAGGGAAGCAAACATAGCCTAAAAAAGAAAAGATTCCTACTTTTTATTCATATCACGTTTCAATAGACAGTCAAAAGTATGGATTTTGAAATACATATTGAATATGTACTTATTTATTTGTTAGCATGAAGAGGTTTTAGAAGCTGATGAGAAAAAAAAGAAAAAGAAAAAAAAAAGAGAAAAAAAAAAGAAGCTGATGAGAATACAAAACTTACTGAATTTTTAGCTCTATTTAATGAAACTTTTTAAAAAAGATTATTTATTTATTTATTTATTTATTTATTTACTTATTTATTTATTCATGAGAGACACACACACAGAGAGGCAGAGACACACACAGAGAGAGAGGCAGAGTCACAGGCAGAGGGAAAAGCAGGCTTCTCGCAGAGAGCCTGATGTGGGACTCGAACCCAGGTCTCCGGGATCATGCCCTGGACTGAAGGCAGCGCTAAACAGCTGAGCCACTCGGCTGCCCCAATGAAACAACTTCTTAAAAAGATAATATTGTACCAAATCATCTTCAGATTATCAACTCACACATTTATAAATAGTTTCAATGCATCAGTATGTTCAGTAAAGCATACATCAAAAAAATCCATAATGATTTTTTTTTCATAATGATTTTTATATACATATACTATATTCAGAATATTTTCCGTTATATATTTTTTTCCTCATTCACCAACAAATGTTTCCTGATTGCCAACTTTATGGCAGGCTCTTAAGATAAATTAATGGGGCAGCCCCAGTGGCCCAGGGGTTTAGTGCCACCTTCGACCTGGGGCCTGATCCTGGAGACCTGGGATCAAGTCCCACGTCGGGCTCCCTGCATGGGGCCTGGTCCTCCCCCTGCCTGTGTCTCTGCCTCTCTCTCTCTCTCTCTCTCTGTCATGAATAAAAAAAATAAAAAAAAAATTAATGAATAAAATTCATGATTTCTATTTTTTTGTTTTCTTTTTAAGATTCATGCTTTCAGGACACCTGGATGGCTCTGTCAGTTAAGCATCCAACTCTTGATTTCTGTTCAGGTCATGCTCTCAGGGTCATGAGATTGAGCCCCTCGTGGCTGCATGCTTAGCTGGGAATCTACTTGGAATTCTTTCTCTCCCTCTGCCCCTCCATGCCCTCTATTCCCCATGTTCACACACTCTCGAAAATAATAAATAAACCTTTTTTAAAAATATTTATTTATTTATGATAGTCACACACAGAGAGAGAGAGAGGCAGATACATAGGCAGAGGGAGAAGCAGGCTCCATGCACTGGGAGCCCGACGTGGGATTCGATCCCGGGTCTCCAGGATCGCGCCCTGGGCCAAAGGCAGGCGCCAAACCACTGCGCCACCCAGGGATTCCAATAAATAAATCTTAAAAAAAAAAGATTCATGCTTTCTAAAGGAGCTGACAGTCTATTAGAAAAGATGCACTTATAAACAGATCTTTCAGTAATTGTACAAAAATGCTGATTTAATTTTTTGCAGTATTCTTCATATTAGGAACTGGCATATTGCCTGACAGTAGATACTGAATCCATATTTGGATTCATCCAAATCCATATTTGATGATAAATCAGTTTGATTTTATCTTGTTATTTGATGTTTGACTAACTTAAAGGATTTTTCTGGAATAGCTGAAGAGATAAATGGATTAAACCTGTAAAGTGACAATGCTATTTTTTTTCCTTTTTTTTTTTTAGATTTTATTTATTTATTCATGAGAGAGAGAGAGAGAGAGAGAGAGGCAGAAACACAGGCAGAGGGAGAAGCAGGCTCCATGCAGGGAGCCTGATATGGGACTCAATCCTGGGACCCCAGAATCATGCCCTGAGCCAAAGAAAGACCTTCAATCACTGAGCTACCCCGGTGTCCCAGTGACAATGCTATTTTATCCCAGTTTTAAAAGTAAACATCAGGGTGTACATAGTGTTAGTTGGAAGTCATTTATTTGTAAACCACTAAGGTTATAAACTTCTGTAGGCAACAGATTAGTCCAATATAATACAA